TTTTTTTTCTCCCATTTATCTTGCCTTTTTAGTATTTTTCGATTTGTCCAACATTTTTTTTCTGTGTAACTGCTGAACTTCACAGCTGCTTTCGGAATACTTGTTATTTCGACTTGTAAACAACTGTTTTGAAGTTAATTTGAATAAACGATCGGTACTGTAATATTCTGTTTCTTCATTTTCTTTCTCAGAATAATCTGTCAAAATTAAATAACCGTCTCAAGCAGGGCATCAAACAGGCTCCTATTGTGCTTCTATGCACTGAACAATGTCATTTGATCATAACTAAACATTTGTTATAAATTTAAAATTTTGAGAATTTTTAATAAATTTCTTTTCTCTTATTTTTTTTCTAATTATGAAACCGGAGTGGTGCTTATGCTTTAAGTTATGACTTCAAATCGCTGTTTCTTTTTTGACGTATAGCTGATTCTACTGTTGTTTTACATTCATCGAGCGGCAAATATTCTTTTTTTTTTTCTGTTGTTGCGATAGTGGCGTTTCCCTTTTATCTCGTTTTTTTCCTTTTTTTTTGACTGGTATTTTGAAAGGCACAATTACTCATAGTTCTTTGGAGCAAATATCCATACTTGAGGATTTGTCAGTCCACGAGTACATTTAAAAATGTTAATTTAGTAAAAATCAATGAAAACCAAAATATGCCATGGCTTTAGGTTAGATACTCACTGGTAAAGTGCCCGCATATTTGAGATTGTCACCGAAAACTGGCATGACTACGGTGGCTTGAATACGTCTTCGATTCTTAGTATCAGTTAATTACTGCCAATGCTGAGCTTTGTGAAAAACGCTGATTGGTGCTGGATTGGAGCCAAGAAGCAAGTACCCAAACTTCCACTAATACGACAATGAAAGATGGCGTTCGACGAGTGCCATTGATGCCTTTTGTGTTGTTATTCTAAGTGGTACATCGGGTACTCATTTTTAGTAACATTTTTGACTCGCAACTTCTTTGCTACTTGGTGGTGTTATCATTGATCCATTGTAACATACAAATCAGTGTTGTAAGTGC